CCTTTCTCTCCTAGGACTGGGCGAGGGAAGTGACTTCAGGTGGTGATGGCCGTAACAGTGGAAATACTGCCCCTCACTCTTTGGCCTGCTTACATCATGGCATCAAGCTCTAGGTGTCCATGCTTGGCCAGTAAGACAGTGCAGTATTTGAAAGGGGAAAAAGGACAGAGATGAATGGCTCCCACCCTCTGTGAATTGTCATTTGAACAGTTATATTTCCTTCTTCCCTCCCCGTGATCTCAATTCTTCCTTGACCTCTGTTTTTTCACCTGGTTCTAGAACATTCTTTAGTCCTATAGGCAATAACAGACTAACTGTATAGGTGATGAAAATGTAATCCCACACTCCATTCTCCAATGTTAAGTTCATTCGAATTATGTTGGCATAACGAGTTGACACAAGACACAAGGTGGTCACACACTCATACCAGGAGGTGGTTTCTTAGCAACAAACTAGAAACTGTGTTAAGTAGGTCTTGTTTGTGTCTGGATTCCAGTGTATCAAGAGCTGTAGTCACTGTTGAATATAGATGGACATTTTCTGTGAATTGATTTCTTTAGCTCTAGAGTTTATTGCAATGTAGTCACCTAACACAGAGTTTGAAAAGCTGTAGTATTCTTGAAATTGTTTCATGATTTATAGCTAATTTTAAAAGAAGCTAATCTTATTTGCTTGTGCTTACCATTTAAAGTCTGCTATGCTTTGGATTATTAACCATTTGTCTGGAGTAGCATGAAATACACCATTCTTAAGATCACCTTAGTTTCTCAATCTATCAATCCCTACTGTTTTTTGCTGCTCAAATGGTTTTAGAGGACATGCTTTATTTCCATTTTAGCTCCTGCAATAGAGGTTCAGAGAAGAGAACACACATGTCTCAGGTCACTCAGCTAGTGAGAGGCAAGACCAGGTCTCAGACTGAAATCAGCCTCGTGTCATGTCTGTGAGATATGTAGGAGGTTTCTGGTTTGAGACTTGAACACCTACAGCGTGATAGTGTGTGTCCTCAAACATGGTAGCCAGAGTGTTTTTGAGTGTCTGAGATGTATACAATCTTTCCCCTGGAAGCCAGCCTCAAATGGTCATTGTTCTGACAGTCCCTCCCTCTGGATCAAGATGTGGAAGGGACCAAAGTCAGACTCGAGACTCCACGGAATATGCTGCATGCCACGTCACTGGTGTTCTTCAAGCACGTGCTGATGAATGAATGAATGAACGAGTGAGCAATTCTAATTCCATTCACAGCCAAGGCTTATGCTTGCCATACAAACAAAAGAGAACACCATGGTTTCCATTACTCCATATTCAGGGAATTATTTTGCTACGAACAACAGTACTTTTGCATGTTACCAGAGAATTATAAGTTCTCGTTGTTCAAATTATTGTTCTCAATAATTATTGTGGTGACACAGGGAGAGAAACGGAGCTGCCCTCTCTTATGAAACAGTAAGCCAGCATGAGTCAGTAAGGGGCATGAACGGGTGTGGTGGAGAAACAGGTGGCAATGGCCTGCCTTGCTCTGTTTTCTACCACAGCATGGCATCAAAGATCCTTGCACGGTCTTGCTGCGAGAGTGTGTAGAAGCATTTGACAACAACTTAGTCTGTTTCATCCTGAATGAGAGCCATTCTGACATAGGCTTACTTCTGAGGGGCTTTGAGTCTTTTGGGCCACAGCACCTATTTATAGCTGGGTGTCCAAATATAAATGAACAAAAGCTCTGCTTCACCTCCCTATCCAGCCCTCACCCTCTGGAAGCACCTCACTCTGCTTTCCGCTTCTCCAAGTCATATCCGGATGTGAGGTCTTGCCGTGAACCATTATTCCCTCCCTTATTTGTGTCTACTCATTAAGCATGTCTTTGATTTTTTTCTTTCTTATGATAAGCAACTCATCAATTACTTGCCAAGTGCCAGACACACTGGGAGATGTGAAAGTGAATGTCATTCTTCATGGGGAAGAAGCCCCGCACATAGGACACAGTGCTTTTGTCTGTGGGACAGATTTCATTGAAGATTCACTGGCAAGTAAGGGCCAAGGCAATGCTGACAACTCGACACTGAATATTAGACAGCCCTATCTTTAACAGTCTCTCCATGCTATGCCTTGTGTGTTGGCCATCTCCTCTCTCCCCTTCCCCTCAGAGGGGAAGACTTCATTCTTGCCCCCCAAAATGACTAAGGGGATACCTCTGATGGCTAAAGATTCACAGATGCAATCTCCTCCGACAGTGAGCACCCACCTTAGGCCTCACTCCCTCTCCTACCTGTCTTTTTATGGGGGAGGAGTGGTAGAATAAAGATTTGATTTACTCTTGGATATAAGTTTTATCACATACTACCCCCTCCTCCCACTTTAAGTAACTCTTGAGTAACTACAATCAATATTGGTTTTAAAACACTGGTATGGTCATTATATGAAGCTGCACTTGTTAACCGTTGCATTTCTTGTTTCTCCTCTCAGATCATAAGTCCATACAAGCAGGGGCTGCATCTCATTTACCCTCAATGTTCACTCTTAGCTCCAAGCACGGTGCTAGGCTGGCAGCGTGGTGCTTTATAAATATTTTTGTTGGGTAGAATAAGTTTTTCACATTGGGTTTGAACAGAGGAGTCACTCTTCTGTGCAACACAGCTGAGTGTGCAGGGCAGGAACCAAAACCATCTTTCAATTCTACTTGTTGAAGGAACTGATGAATAAATCACAGGGAAAAACACAGACAAGTAGCAAATGTGTGATGTGGCCCAAGAGGGAGTGCAAGGCTGGAAGCAACTGGGTGGCACTTCTTCCCTGCATAGCTTTGAATTCCAAATTATAAACCAAAATAAGGTATGGTGCTGGCTAATGAACCCAGAACCCTAGCTTCAGAAACCAATGAATGAGGGAAGCTGTCTCCACATATATACCTGTGCATATCTCTTCTGCTCATGCTCCAGTGTCCCACCTGACTGTACTTATAAGACACGGTTGGTAAGAATTTCCAAATGGTGACAGGAGGGCACTGAATCTCAAGTGTGGGGCCCTTCTGAGTACCAGGCCCTCACTGTGTGACTGTCCAGGCTGCAGGCTTATGAAGCTGGCCCTGCCTGGCACAGGGCAAGTACTCAATAAATATTCAGTTAATGAATGAACAAATGTTACTTCTTAAGCACAGGCCTCATTCACTAAAGCTCAATGTTGAAACTATTCTAGGACCCAATTACAATGTGTGTATGGAGGAGGGGGGTTCCCTCATATATCTGCCAAGCAGTTCTCCATGACACCAGGGCATGTCCTACCATTTAGCTCAATTCTGACACACTCCCTGGGGGTAGCATCCAATCCCACAGGGTAAGGGCTTAGTCCAGAAGACTCCCCTCCCTTCAGAAGGCAATCCAAAGTCCAGTTATCACCTGTCCTTCAGACGGATCCACTAGAAATTGGAGGTGACCATGTCCTCCCCTTCGGGGTTTGATTAATTTGCTCCAGTGGCTCATAGAACACAGGAAAACAGTTTACTTACACTCACTGGTTTATTATAAAAGGGTATGATAAAGGATACCAATGAATAGCCAGAGGAAGAGATGCGTAGGGCAAGGTATATGAGGAGGGGCACAGAGCTTCCATGCCCTCTCCAGGAAAACCCCTCTCCACACCTCCGCCTATTCACCAACCTGGTAGCTCTCTGAAACCCTTGTCATTGGGATTTTTTATGGAGGCTTCCTCGTGGAGGCACGATCAATCATTAACTCTACTTCCAACCTCTCCCCTCTCTGAAAGAAAGGGGATGGGGCCAAAAATCCCAAGCTTCTAATCACAGCTTGGTGTTTCTGGTAACCAGGCGTCATGCAGGAAATGACCCAGAATCTCTTCAATAGGACAGAAGATGCTCCTAGTATTCTGATCATGTAAGAATTTACAGGGGTTAAGGAGCCCTGGGTCAGGGACAGGGCCAAAGACAAATATTAGAACAAGAGATGCTCCTGTGCTGTCATCGCTTAGGAAATTATAGGCATTTTAGGAGCTCTGTGTCAGGAACCAGGGGCAGAGACCAATATATACATTTTTTATTATCTTATAATTGTCTATTAATAGCAGACAGAATAGAAATAGTAGTCTCTCAGATAATTATTTTTAAAAAAACTTCTGAGCCAAGAATTTTAATCTCTTTTTCTTATGAGAGTTATTAATCAGCTGCAATACTGAGCAGATCTCAGTTTCATCAGTTCTGTCTTTTGCTAGAGAGAGGTGATCATCAAGAGAGGAGGAATGGGAATTGACGGGGTATGAAAAATGCACGTTTGGGGAAGCAAGACCTTGCAAAGGAAAGATTAATTTTCGTGGTATATGTAGAACCTGATATATTAATAACCACTTTGGTTCGGAAGAGCTTAGTTGAATAAATTTGTTACAGCAGCACTACTTCAAAACTTTGGGAGGCGGGTGAGTTGTATCTGCAGGACTTGGGCCTTCCGACATACTCATGTGTTGATGCCAAAGTGTTTGGGAGGGTCTGAGAGAAGCCAAGACTGCCACTTGACCCAGGAGCTGGATCCTAGCTCACCCCCCTTATCCTAGGAATGTGGGTTCCGTCTGCTTTTCACAGCTCCCAGAGGCTGTCTCAAGGACATAGCCTTGCGATAAACACGTGGTGTTGAGACCATCTGGACAATGTACGTGACTGAACCCAGTTAAGGCTTTCATAAAACTTGCAAGGTTTGGCACGATCTGCTTGTCTTGCTCAAGACAGTCTTTGCATGTAAGTTCCCTTTGCTTATTAAACTTGTCACCTACCAACTGGAGTGGCCCACCTCTTTCTTAGGTTTCTCCCCGCCCCCTGCCGTGCGGGCAGGTTTCAGATTACACCTGGAGCTTACCGACCAACACCAGGTGAATGAATGCGTCCAAAAGAAGCTGAAAGGCAGTTTTCCCAAAGGGGACAGGTGGGGAAGAACTCAAATGACTGATGCCTGAAGGGTCATTTTTATTTCACTTTTTAAAAATCTACTTTTATTTTACTTTTTTCCTGAATAAAGCTCATGGTTGATTAAGGAATTCAAGAGAATCAGACTTACATCACATACATCTATTCATTCCACTGGCCTTTTTGAGTTTCTGCTGTATGCCAGGTGCACTGTTAGGTGCTGAGGTTTTGAAGTGAAGTTCAACTAAGTTGTCGTCCTGGAGAAGGCCCCAGTGTATAGCCCTAAACGGAAAAGTAGTGATTGAGATAGGGGTGGGCATGGAGCCTTCCTGTCCCCTGGCACCTTGGTGAAAGGATCATCCGTATCCAGAGCCCCTGATGCTGGAGGAAGTAATTTTACCCTACAGAGTTTGATAAGCTATGAGTTGTCATGGCAACAGATTAACCGGAGCTGGAACTGGGTGTGAGTGCCCCAGCTGTGAGGGTACTGTCTCCTCCTCTGCTGAGTTCTGGCCTGATGATCCCTTGCTTACTGCAGACACTGATTTCCTGGATTGGGATTTGGCTGGAGAAAAACAAGCAGATGGAAGGGGGCTGCTGGAAGAGGACAGCAGAGTAGAGACACTTCAGACTCATACGGAAACATAAGCCAAAAAGCGTAACACTTACTGGATCCTCATCACGTGCTAGGCACTGTGCTGCGTATTGAGCCTTATCTCAGCTGATTGTCACAATAACACTGTGTGTGGCTGGTATTCCCATCTCCCCCATTAGAGAGGTGGGGAAACTGAGGCTCAGATGGGCTACAGATAAATCACCCAAGTAGGTAGCAGGGCTGAGCTGAGAATCTGGGTCACTCTGACTCCCGTGCCTGGACTCTCAGTGCCAAACAGCAGTGGTTCTGAATGGCAGGTTCAGCGTACCTGGGGGTATGGAAGGGAAATGGCTAAAATTCAGATTCCTAGGCACAGTTTCAGACCTGCTGAATCAGAATGTCTGGGGGTACAGCCCAGGAGGAAGGGATCTTGGAGGTTGCCTAGTCTGAAGGAAGCCTAGAGAAAGGAGGTGACTTGCCCCAGTTCCCTGTGCTGGTTAGGGCTAGGCACCAGGTCTTCTATGCTGCTTAGTGGGCTCAGAGGTGTGGAGTGAGGTGGGACCCAAAAGAGGATATGGTGGTTCAACCACTGAAAATTTTCCTTCATTTATAATGACAATGCTCCATCTAACCACTGCTCCAATCAAGAAAAAGAAGAGGGGTTGAGAGAAGCCCTAACTGGTGCTTATTCTATTTTTTTCCCAGCATTTCTGCTTGCAAGACCAACCTACTTCCTAGCCCAGTCACCAGGGTAACCATCACTCCCACCTAGACAGCCAAGTGCGTACACAGCTTCTTGCACCCACATCCAGGGCTGTGGGACCCAGCCCTATAATCAGCCTCCCGCTGCCTCTGCAGACAGCCAGTGGTGTCAGTTCCCAGCTCTCCAGGCCCATCACCCCACTACGGTCTGCAGACACCCCCTCCTCACATGCACACGCTGAGTTCTGCTTCCCTCGCCCACTGCCTCCCAGGAGACAAATGTGCAATCTGCTTTCGGCATGTCTCATCACCCCTGGAGGGAGGAATCTGCCCTCGAGATGGAGCACAACCCAACACACACAGCCCACACATGAGAAAAAACACCCCCTCCCTGAGGAAGGGAGTGGTGGCAGTGAACACCCTCCCGTCGCCAGAGATGGCTGAGGGGGCAGCTGGAGTTTAGGGAGAGTTTGCAAAGTGATGATCAGAGGAGGGGCTGAGGCAGCTAACAGGGAGGAGGACTGGGGGAGGCTGGGCCCAGATTCCGCTGCTTATCAAGCAGCTCCCTGCCTGCTGACACCTGGGAAACTGGAGTCCCCTCCATCCACAGACTTTTGGAGTCTGACCCTGCATGTAATGAGGCTGGGTCCCCTCTTCAAGGACCCCACTAGAACAGTGTCATGAGGCTGGACTGCTGGGGCCATGGAGTCCGCATTGGGACTTCAAAAGCACCAGTTGCAGCTAGCTCCTGGGCCTGGGGCCCCGACCAAGTGCTCTGCCTGCAGGTTGTACTCTTCTGAGCAACTTCCCCAACTGCTGGAGTTGATCTTCCCCCAGCTTGATTCTGACTCTGCCCCAGACACTCCAGCTGTTTGCCTCCTCTCTAGTCCTTCCTTCAGCCTTCCTGTCTTGGATGCATCTTAGGCCATCTCAGATGATCTCACCTGTCTGTAGGCTCTGACCACTTACTGAGTCCTAAGTGCCAGGGGTTGCTCTCCTGATGAGCCTCCTTTTTTGACTCCCTGCATGCTGAGGGCCCCCTTTAGGGTCCTGCCATTTCCCCCTGGGCTGAAGTCTTCCTCCCGAGGGCTTGGGATCTGGCTCCTTCCTAGTATCAGCCCACTAAAGTGCAAAAGAGTTAACTCCCCAAGGAGCCAGCTTTGATCAATGGATGCAAAAGGCGGGAGGAAGCCTTAACCAACTCCTTCCCAGGGACAGTCCTGGGTTCTGCACAGTCATCTGGAGTCACCCTATATACCCCTGGTGGTACCTCTACTTGAACCGGGGGCCAGCTGGGCAGGCCAGTGCCACGTCCTTGCTCCCCAGCCTGCCTGCCTCAATTCACTCTTTCTCACTCTGGCTACCCAGGGAATGTAGCTCCCAAGGGAGCGTTAGCACTTAAGCTTCGTCTCAAACTGTTTTCTAGAGAATCTGGGCTAAGTCAGCACTAAGATTCAAGTAGAACAGAATTCTCATTCTGTACTGTCTAGCCTAATTCCCTCATTTGATTGAAGGGGTCAAGGCCCAGAGGGGTTCGGTGGTTTCCCCAAGTTTGCAGCTGGTTAGTGGAGAAGCTGGGCCTTACTCATTGCCTTAGCAACTAATTAACAAGCACCTGCAGTGTGCCAGGCATTAATTTAGGCACTGGGAATGCAGGGGTGAATAAATTGCCCAAGATCTCTGCCTTTGTGGAACACAGCCTTTGAGTGGAGGGTAGGAGGAGAAAAAGACTGTGAAAGAGATGAATATGTAAAATATTCAGAATGTTAGACTGATAAGTGCTGGTGGTGATGAGGTTGGATGGCATGGGCTAAACCGTGTCCTCTTCAAGTCCTATGTTGAAGTTTTAACCCCAAGGACCTCAGAACTTGACTGTATTTGAGGAGGTGATTAAGTAAAAATGGGATCATTAGCGGGGGTCCTGACCCAATATGACTGGGGTCCTTACAAGAAGAGGCAATGTGGACACACAAGACACTAGGATTGTCTACACACAGAGAAAGACCATGTGAGGACACAGCAGGAAGGTGGCCATCAGCAAGACTGGGGAGAAACCAGCCCTGCGGACCCCTTGATCTTGGATTTCCAGCCTGCAAACTCTACGACAATACATTTCCATTGTTTAACTCACCCAGTCTGTGGTATTTCGCTCTGGCAACCCCAGCAACTAACACAGTGGGATTTTAACTTCATAAAAGGCATTCTGAGCTGGCCTCACTGAGATGGTGACACTGAGGAATACCCGAAGAACAAGCTGGAGTTGAGTTACCTGAAAACCCATGGAGAGGGGAGGGCAGGCTCCCTGGTACTGACTGGGATCACACCTCGAGTGTTTGAGGAACAGCAGAGGGGCCAGCGTGCATGAAGGAAGCAGAGTGGGTGACAGAGGGCACAGAAGCATGAGGTCCCAGAGGTGAGGGGGGAGTGAGAGGACGTTCTCTGTGTATGGGCTGGGGAGTTCCCACAGAGTTTAGAGCAGTGGTTCTCCATTGGGGAGGGGGTGGATGTTTGCCCCCAGGGGACATTTGGCAATGTCTGAAGACATTTTCCATCACAACTTGGTGACAGGGGAGTGAGGAGAGGTCAGTATAGGATAATGGCATCTAGTGGGTAGAGGCCAGGGATGCTGGTAAATACCCTGCAGGGCAAGCGCAGCATTCCCACCCTTCCCTGGCAAAGATTACCTGGGCCCCCAAAGTAACAAGGTTGAGAGCCCTAGTTTAGAGTGACTGGTTCTGACTTGGGTGTTAACAGGATCACTCTGGCTGTGCTGGGAATGACTTTAAAAGTGGAAGAGCAGAACAAAGGCTCTGTTAATCCAGGTGAGAAATAACGGTGGCTTGGACCACTGGTAGAAGATCTACTATGTCAATTTAGTGATCCTCATTCTATCCTTTCTGCCTCCTCCTCTCTTTTCACTTTCTCAATAAACATTAATGGCCTTCTCACTCTGTGCTAACCATTGTGTCAGGTGCTGGGCAGGTTCCAACAGACCTGGCCTGCTAGGAACCTCATCTCCCTCCGTCCAATTCAAGCTGAAGAGGAGGGAGCTCCAGGGAACCGCCGATGACTTGGGGGGAGACTTTGGGAAGCCCCCTTAGTGCTGCAGGTGGAGTTCTGTGGTCGTGGTCAAGTGGTGCCATCCCCTCAGACACCATAGATGGGACATGCTGCAGTAACAGAAAACATGAAATCTCAGTGGCTTCACAAAATAGAGGATTTTTTCTCACTTAAGCAAAAGTGGGTGGGGTCTCCCTCTTCCATGGGTCTCTAGCTCCCTGTATGAGTTCCATAGCAGTTTTCATAGTTTGCAGTTATCATATTTAATTACAGTATATGACTATTGTATCAGTTCCCTCCCTAGGACATATGCTCCTTGATGGTAGGACCCATTTGGCTTGTTTTGTATCCCTAGACCTAGAAAAATGTCTATAATATAGCCAGAATTCTTGACATATTTTTTGAATGACTGAATGGATGAATGCAGTGGCTAAAAGAACTGGAAACCGCACAATCTTCCCAATCTAAAAAATTCTAAAATATCCCATGCATAAAACATTATATGAAATACATATGTATATTTTAAGCATAACACTAAAACTAACCCATATCTACTACCCATCTCAAAATATAACACATCACCAGTGCCTTCTCTGTGCCTCTCCCTTATCACATCTCAGCGTTACAGACTAACAGTGGTCTCCATTTCATGTTTATCATCTTTTTTTCTTGGCCATTTCAACCACATCATGCATATTATATATATTACTGTTTCTGAACATTATATAAATAGTATCATACTGTAGATACTCTTTGCAATTTGCCCTTGCTCCACATGTTCATGAACTTTATCTTTGTTGAAGTTGAATTACGTAGTGGTGGTTCCTTTTCCTTGTCATATTTTTTCCATTGACTATAACACGATTGATTTATCTGTTCTCCTTCAGACGGGCATTTGAGTTTTAACCAGGTTTTTGCTATTACAATTTGTACTGCTGTGAACTTTCTCATACAGTTTCTTTGTGCACGTGTGCAAAAGTTTTTCTAGAGTGTATACCTTGAAGAGGTATGTTCCATTTTACAAATTAATGCCAAACTATTTTCCAAAGTGGTTTCCAAAGTGGTTGCACTAATTTTTGCTTCCACCAACACTATGCAAGAGTCCCCCTTGTTCTATGTCCTTCAAACACTTCACGTGGTCGGAGTTTAAACTTTTTGCCCATTTGTTGGGTATGCACATTTACCATTCCCTGATTATTAGTGAGGTTGGGCTTCTTTTCATAGGTTTATTCCACCTCTGTAAAACGGTTGTTTTAAATATTTTGCCTATTTTTCTCTTTACTTCTCTGTTTACCAGTAGTTCTTTGGAGTTCTTGATTCTAGGCAGCAGTCCTTTGATTAATTTGTTGTTAAGTATTCATTCCCAGTCTACAGCTTGTCACTATCTTTGTGGTGTCTTTTGAGTGATTTGAGATCATAGTTTTAAAATAGGTTTATTAATGTTTTATTTTATAGCATGTGCTTTTTAAGAAAAAGCTCCCTATTCTGATATCAGAAAACTATTCTCCCATATTTTCTTCGAAAAGTTTGAAAAATTTGTCTTTTCATGGTTAGATTTTCTTCCTGCTGTTGTTATGTAAATTAACCTATTAATTTATAAGCTAGCAATGTTTCAAATCATGGCTCTTCAACCATCTTTCAATCCCTGCGTCTTTTGATGGAAGACTTTACAGTGGAGGCAAAACTGGTGCTGAGGGTCCAGGTACGGTTACCATTTTCATGCAGGGACCACAGGGCCAGCACCCCATAGGTTGTCCATTCATGTTGTTTTTGGCACAGAAGGAGTAAGTGTACGTGGCTTGCTGGCTTACTTCAATTTTCTTCACTGTTTTCCTGAGGAAGGCACCAAACAGGTCCCATGTTTACCTACCATTGTGACCTTGGTGCAGGTAGGCCTACCACCACAAATGAGGTCCAGGCCCAGAGGGGCATGTTTAGGTTTTTTGTTCACCTGGAATTGAGTTTTGTATGTGGCCTGAAGTAGAAATCTAGTTGAAACATTTTTCTCATGTAGACACTGCATTAGTTTCCCATTGCTGCTGTAACAAATCAACACCAATCTAGTGGCTTAATGAGTTTATTTTCTTACAGATCTGGAAGTTAGAAATAGGTCTCACTGGGCTAAATCCAAGGTGTCAGCATGGCTGTGGTCTGATCTGGAGGCTCCAGGAAAGTTGGTTTACTTTTTGTCCTTTTCCAGCTTTTGGAGGCTGCCTACTTGCGGCCCCTTCCATCCTCAAAGCCAGCAATGGGGGTCAAGTTTCTCTTGGATCACATCATTCTGACACTGACCCTCCTGCCCCCCTTGTTCACTCATAGGAGCCTTGGGATTATACTGGCCTGCCTGATAACCCAAAATAATCTCCCCACCTCGAGATCCTTAAATTCGTCATATCTTCAAAGCCTCTTATACCGTGTAAGGTAACCTAGTCACAGGTTTGGGGGATTAGAGTGTGAGTATCTATGGGGGTCATTATTCTGCCTTCCACAATATTCAATAGATTCAGCACAAATGTATTAAGCTTTTTCTGAACCGGGGTGCCGGGAACAGTGGTCTGGTGGTAACAGTAATAATAGCAAATGCTGAATGCTTGCTATGAGCCAAGAGCCTCTCTAAGTATTGCACGTGTATTATCTCATTTCATTCTTACAACAGAACTTTGGCTAAGCACTGCTATTATTCCTGTCTTAGAGCTGAGTTAAGTAAGTTAAGTACCTTGTCCCCAGTAGGAACTGGCAGTGCCAGGATTCCAGGCAGTTGGTCAGAGCCATGCCAGGCAGCTGGGCTCCAAAGCCCCTGCACTTATCCACCATGATGTTGTTGAATGAACAAATGAAGTGAGCAAGTCTAGTGTCCTTTAGCTGTGTGCTCATACCTGCCACATAACTTCTCTGGGCCTCAATTTCATTATTTCTAAGATTGGAATAGTGCTGCATCTCTTCCGTACTTGACAGAGCTACTTCAAGGGCACATTGAAGACAAGCTGTAAAAAATCAGTGCAGATAAGGAAAAGAGTTCCAAGAGTCCTTCCACTGCATATCATTGGCCGAGCCAGGGCTGGGGCTCAGGTTTCCTGGCGGCCAGGCTAGGACAGGCTACTTCACCACAGGGTGGTAGCAATTACAGATTCCAGTCATCAAACATTTTCCTTTTACCAGCCTCCTTCCCTGTAACAGCCAACATGAAAGCTATGTCTGTGTATTCAATTAATTGTTCATTAAGAATATCAAGTCTTAAATGCTGTTACAAAACCCAAATATTGACATAACACTTCTTAGCTGAAACAGGGTAAAGTTTTCAAGTATTATCTATATCCATTACAAATCAAGGGGAAAAGAGAACATTTTAGAAAGTGACAGAAAAGGAGGGCCGAAAGGTATCTGCTAAGGAAAACCACCTTCCCTGCGTCTTTGCCTCTTCCCCATCCTGGTCTCATCCAGCTGCCATCCTCTTCCATTTTCCCTTCCTTCACTCCTCCTTAGGAAAGTAGGGATCAGAAAACTTGAATTGCAGCTGTGGGGCAACTACTGACCATTTTCACTTTGAACTTCAGAGGCAGTATCAAATTAAAAAAGAGCAATGAGTGGGAGGATTCACTCTACCAAATATGAGGACATAGAACGAAGCCATAGCAATAAAATCAGCACAGCACTGGTACAGGAACAGATTAGATGAACAGAACAATGGTGAGAGCCCAGAAACAGAGATGTGTCTATGGAGACTTGGCATAGGACAGAGACACCATCACACATCGGTGGGGAAGAGATGAATTGTTTGGTGGGTATTGCTGGAACCACTGGCTCGTCATGTAGAGAAATAAGATTGTATTCCTATTCATATTCCACGCAAGGTGAACCCCAGAAGAATTAAGACCTGTGATGGGTAAAAGTATGAAGCTATTAAATGGGAAAAATGTAGGAGGATATTTTGGGCCTGTGGGTAGGAAAAGATTCTTAAAGAAGATCCAAGAAACATACTCCACAACGGTAAAATCTGATGCATTTGACTACATCAAAATTAAGGCTTTCCCTGACACTGTAGGATAGCAAAGGCCAAGCTAACAGGAAGCATGAAGGATTGGGAGAAATATTTGCAACGTCCAAGACTGACGAGAGATTAGTATTTAGACTACATAGGAAACTTTTTCAGTGCATTCAGAAAAATAATCGGAAATCTGGCAGAAAAATAGGAAGGTTGTAAATAGGTAATTCAAGGAAGGAAAATGTCTCAATGCTTTTTAAGTATATGTAAAAATAGTTAACATCACTAATCAACAAAGAAATACAATTGGGAAGTAGAATGTGATACTAATTAACTGGTATCAGATTTATACGAATTAGGACATCAGGTAATAATACCAAATGTCAGTGTATCAAATGGGGAAGCAGGAATCTTCCTGTCTTCACGAATCATTGGTGGGAATGCAAACTGGCAAAGCCACTTTGGAGAACAGTGTGGCAGAGCGAAAACAGACTCATGACCCAACAATTCCATCTCTTTCTTATGATCCATAAGGGACACATCTAATACCTGTGCAGCATTGTTACTCTGTGGTAACAAGAAACTGCTGGTAACTTAACTGCATATTATGTAAGGAACTGAAAAGTGTTTTCCTTCTTTTTTGTTTTCTAAACTAAATTCAACTGAGAAAACTTGAAGATCTAATTGCCTTCATTATGTAATTCATGAATTGGGCAACACCCTATCTAGTAAGTGGATATTCTCCAATGAGTTGTACAAAATGGAAGGTTTTTAGAGGAAGAAGGTGGGACAAGAAATTAGAGCAAAGAAGAGAAAGGGTTGTTTCAGGTAAGGTCACTTTTCCTTAGGGGGAAGAACAGGGAGTCTTTTATCATCTTTTTTTGCGGGGTGCAATGGAGAGGACAGATTACCTCATTTGCGATTGACTGTTAAAGGGTCCTCTTCCTCGAATAGGTTGAAACTGTAATTAAGTCTTCGTTTGGGGGCAAATGACTCCACTTGGGCTTATAGTTTCTTTTTTTAACACAAGTAAAATGGGTTAGATACATAAATTGAATGCTATTAGTGGTCAGAACGAATTAACTTGTGGTATATATAGAGCCATGGATAGATTTCTAAGACATTATGTTGAGGGAAAAACAAGAAACAGACTAAGTTCTTAGCACATCTTTCATGTATATTAAAATTAGACACATAAACTAAAACAGTATCTGTTCAGGACAGGTACATGTAGTGGTACACATCTGAAACACAGGAGAGAGGGTGTATATGGTTGAGTAGAGAAATGGAGGTGTGGAGAGGGAATGAGTGGGAAAAAAAGGGTAGCCTTAATGACTCTTTTGTGCTTTAGAGTATTATCAATCTAACTCTATCCTGTAAGTTAAAAAAATCGCTCATTCCCCTTCCGTCGCTTCCTAATCTTAATAGAATTAAATGTAAGCGACTCAACCAGGCAGCCCAGAGCAGGGCCTGTCTCCATAAAGGATCTGCCCCTTTCTTCTGTGCACCTTGCCAAACACTCGCTTCCCCTCACTTGAAGCTCCTCTCTAGCTGCACGTCCGACAACCAAAACAAGCTCAGACTTCAAACCGAACTGAGCTTACTTTTATTTCTCTGAGATAAGTCTTACTGATCGTCTAAGATTCTGTTTTGTCTCCCCTCCAGGACTCTTTCTGAACATCGCCCTTCCCCAAATGCTAATCTCTCCAGAGCTGTCCTTCCACACAAACCCCTCTCCCATTACCCCGGCACACACACCTTTGTAATTGCTTATTTAAGGTACACATCCTTTCTGCTCCTTAGCACATCCTTATCTCCTTCAGGGCTAGGGCTGAGCTAGGGTGGTCTCTGAGTCTGCAGCGTGCCTCCGGGTGGGAGGTCACAGGAATAACTGGGACGTCATTCTAGCGGGTTAAAAAGGACCCCAGCACACCTCCCTCACTTCTGCTTCCCTTTTCATTGGTTTAGCTTCTCCGCTACCGGTCCCCGCCCCCAGCCCGCCTCCGCCGTAGCAGGAGGTGGAAGGCTCCGCGCAGGCGCCATGGGGTGAGGCGCACCAGGCCGGAGGCGGAGCGAGGGAGGAGGTGGACAGAGGGGAGGGAGTGGGGGCGCGGCGACGTTGCGCGGCAGTTGCGTCCAGCCCGCGTGCGCGTGGCGCCTGGGGGGCGGGGCTGAGGCGGGCACTGTGGCACCTCCCCCGCCCTGGGTCCGCCCCCGCGGGCCGCCCGCGCGCCTCGCCCCGCCCCCTCGCCTTGTCCGCCCCGTCCCCCCGGCGGCCGCGCTCCGTCTCTTGCTGCCCGCTAGCCTCCCGCCTGGCTTCCGCGGCCGGGAGCAGGAGAAAGTCCTGCTGGTGGGCGGCCGCGGGGCTGCGCGCGTCCTGCATCCCGGGGCCCCTCCGGCCCGGGCGGCTAGGGGGCTCGGCGGTCCATGCATCCGCCGCCGCCTGCCGCCGCGATGGATTTCAGTCAGAACAGCCTGTTCGGCTACATGGACGACCTGCAGGAGCTCACCATCATCGAGAGGCCGGTCCGCCGGAGCCTCAAGGTGCGCCCCGGGGAGGAGGAACTGCCGACCCCCGTCCCGTCCCCTCCCCGAAGCGGCCTGGGACCCTCTCGGAGTCCTCCTCCAGTCCCCAGTCACCGTGTCACCCTAACCCGGCCCCTCCCGGGGCTCCTTCGACGCAGCCACGATTTTCCCAGCCTGGACCCCCATTCCTAAGGGACGGGCCCCTGACCGGGGGCCACCCCGCGGCCCCTCGGACGCCTCCGCTCCTTAATTCTCCGGCCCAGCCCGCCCCCAGGAACGGTCGGCCGGGCCCCGTCACACGGGCCAGCGCAGCGGCTTCCCCCGCGCCGCCCCTCTCGACAGCCGCGGCCCCTCTTCCTCCCGCCCCTGCAGGAGCTGACCCTCGAAGCCGCAGTCGACTTACCCTGGGCCCTCTCCTGGGTTCCACTGCCCCCCACTCCCCCCACGCTGGTGCTGCCCGGGTTCTGGCCCAAGACCCCCTCCTTAGTAACACAACCCCGACTGCTCTCCCCACTTCTCCCTGGGGCACCCAGGTCCCATGCTTCCCTTCTCCCATCAGAACAAGCTGGGGTGCCCCTACTCCCAAGTCAGTCCCGGCCTCCCTTCACCTCCCAGAACCAGCTCCATACTGTCTGTAGGGGTCCTGCTCCCGGTATTCAAAGCCCTCTCGACCTTTTGTCCCCGTCCTGAGTCCCCATACGTCCTTTCCTCCCAGCCCCTCCTGGACTCTAGCTGGGGCTCTGCTCCCCACCCCCCTTGAGGGAGGCAACCTTCGGTTTGCGCCGCCACCCCCACTAGCTCCCCCACCCCGCAGAGTCATCTTCCTCCCAGCTTCCCCGAAGCTCCAGTCCTCATGGGCAAAGCTAGTTTACGGACCACCCCGGCCCCCCAAGCCATCCTCTTAATAGCCCCTTTAGCTCTGCTCCTTCCACCTGCCGCGATTTGCCGAATCTTTCTTTGATTTCCTTCCTGCCCCAGAGTTTATTCCCTTCCCTCCCCCCAACTCCATATTTCGTCTTTTTCATTACCACTTGACTGCAGTCTTCATCCATTCCCCTTTTAGCGTTTCCTGGGGTGGGAAATGCTGAAAAACATCCTTAGGGTATTAAGAGATAAGAAAATATGTATATATTTTATATATGCATATAAAATTGATTTCATCAATGTTCTGGAGCCACAGTGTGATTCTTAAGCTTCTATGTAGAAGCTAGAAGAGTTAAGAAAGAAAGAAAAAAAAACCCCACCAAACACCAAAACTCCACCACCCAAACCCAACAGTTAGAGACAATTAGAGACCTCTGTGGTTGAGGTCCTCCCCTAGAATCATCATATCCTTAATTAGTTTTCATTGGAAATGCTTAATTGTGAAACTTTTTCAGTAGTCAGTGCCCTTATAGGATCTCTGGAGGGTCTCTGGGCGGGACAGGGGTGGGGAGGGCAAAACTGATCCACGTTTGTGTGCATAATTTGTATTTACTTGACAGACACCAGAAGAAATAGAAAGATTGACAGTTGATGAAGACCTCAGTGATATTGAAAGGGCTGTTTATCTGCTCAGGTATTTCCTAAAGTCTTTCTGTGAAATTGCTGCTCTGTCCCTGCGGCAGCCTGGATGAGTGCCGATCTGAGATGTCATGTTATGGTTATTTTCGGATTTACCTAACCACTTGAACAGAGTACTTTGGCATGCATAGCACTTAATTATGTTATAAAGTAAGATTTCCATATGGACTTAGAAATTTGAGCAGTGAAATCAAGTAAAATAGTTAACTTAGAGAATATTGCTTGGATGGGGAGGAACAGAACAACTAATGCTTTGAATTGAATCTCTTTCTTTTTAAAATTTCCAGCTTTGATTGTTCTCACATTAAGATCCACCAAGTTTAAATGAGACTTAAGAATATCCAGTGATTAATCTTAAATTAATCATAGAGTATGAACCTTATATGCTATTTACTAGACCAAAAAAAATCCGCAAGTATAGTAGTTCATTTTATTGCTCAGGATATACTATGTATGTTACTTTTGCTTTGTGAGGTTTATAATTTCCCTGAGAGATTTTAAAGTTTAATTGCACCTACTCATTTAAGTTTCATGTTACAGGCTCTACAGAATTGCTTAAGGCAAATGTTTATTGCAAATTTTTACAAGATTGCTCTCAACTGTTTAAAAACTGTGGAAAAAGCTTCTTAAGAGTTACTTCAGTGAACATTAATGAACATACCTATGAAAATTCTTCAGAAACAAAATTTTTTAAGGTTTTTGTGTACATTTGTTTTAAAGTCTTTTCTTTAACTTGCACAACACTTCTTCCCTTTTTGGCAAATTGGTTTTTACTTTTGTTTTTCAGAAGCAGATTTTGAAAACTGGTGTTATTTATCCCCTGAGATATTTGTCATCCTTGTCTCCTTAGCTTACTATGTCTACTTCACCAGTTTTAGGTGCTGGCAAGTTTTTTGTTCTCTTTTCTTGTTTCTGAAAAAAACAAAACAAAACAAAATCCCCCCTATAATTTTCCTAATTATTCTTTAGCCTATTGGTATCTTCATTTAGTCAGAATTTTAGTATGCTTTAATTTAGAACATTCTTTCCAATAATTCTGTCACTTTAAAATGTTGTTTCTAGGTATTAGACCTTATGCTATTATTTTCCTCTCTTGGTGATCTATAGTAACATGCTGTCATCATTTCTACCTATTTATTTAAAAGGAAACTTTTTATTTATGTATGAATTAAAGTATGTGTTTTTGGTTCATAGAGAATAATCCAACATTAGCTTTTTTTGATATTTTTTTTGTGTTATATTTGAAGTGCTTTATTCCTTAATAATTAACATGTCCAGTATGGTGAACAATAGTTGTAAACATTTGCCTTTTCCCACAGTTCTTTTGCTTGGAGTAGGTAGACTATTGATGAAAGTTTGGGTTAGTTTTTTTAACATACAGCAATTAATGATTTGAAATGAGTTCCTACTTACTCCTACTGAATTCTCTTTTTTCGTGTAAATGCTAGCTTACAATTAGGAAATGAGGAGTCTTGCTCTACTTATTTGCCACAGCCGATCCCTTGTTCTAGATATCAGTGACAGGACTCCTTTTTTAGGCTACCTTATTTGTTGTTCTACTTTGATTTTATTGTTTGTTAGCAAACCAGGTCATCTAAATTATGTCTGTATTTCTCAGACACAGAACATAAGTTTCATACAGTTCTGGAACTTTTTTTAAAAAGCCCTGATGAGACAGATGGGTCCCCTCATTCTAAGACAAGAGAGTTTTAAAAGAGATCAGATGTCTCCTTTAGTTTCTTGCGGCTCATCTGCCTTGAAGGAAGTTTGTAAGGTGAGTCAGAAGGCGAACCCTAGTTTGGTTGTGTATGGGTCTCTCTCTGAGTTCGTCTTTTGTGTTCCTACCATCTTACCACCTCCTGGGGGACATGGGGATTTCACCTTTAGGTCAGCTTTTGAAGGGATAACACTAGGCTGCCTGAAAGGTTCTTTCTTCTCTGGGATTCACGGGAGGGTGTGGGAATGTCTTAATAGACTTGTTCCCAACTTTGCTTCTCTCTCTGAAAGCCTCATCTGCTGTGGTGTATGGAGTCTTCTGTTTTAAATGTAATTTATTTCTTTATTTCATTTGTACCCCCCAATGCTATAGATCCTGATACCAAGTCCTTTCTGATTTTTTTCCTATGATTTTCAGGTTTACTTTTTTGAGTGCTTTATCTTTTCTTCTGTACTGGATATGTAATATTCTCTCTGTTTTTGAACATCAGATTTGTTTCTTTTGCTCTCTTATTTTGTATGTTAAAACTATTTTGGAGTATTATGTTAAATTAGAATTCAGAGTCAAATGTGTAAGCATCAGTAGGGAATGCTTTATATTAGTGAGGTTCTGATAGCATTTAAACTACATCTTATATTTAAAAAAGTATTCTATACAGAGTAGTCATCCAATGAAAAACAAATTACACTGTTGATTGTCTTACCCTAAAATATGGAAGATCAATTATTAATGCTATTTTCATAATTGAGTTTAGAACATTATGGTATTTGAAGATTTGACACAGATGAATTTGTGATTTTGCATAAATATGATGCTGATATACCCATCTGTGGCATTTAGCATTGAAACAAAACAACTTTTCTAACAGTCACAGCTTGTGGCTTAGTCAAAATCATATCACAACATCTTTTTACTGTTCTTTCTCTTTGTGATTATTGGCATATATTTTAGGAATGTACTTAAAACCTGTGAATAATTTTCTTAGAAAAGAGTGCTAACTTTGTGTACTGTGCTTTCATTAGGTAAAGCTTTACTCACATATCTTTAATTGCCTCCCAGATAAGTTCCAGACCCTTTAGCTTGGCATAAGTGACTCCATCTTACTGTGCAATATGATGTCCCACCAGGCCCTCAAGTTTTTTTTAATGGCTTGACTGAGCTGTAGTTCACATGCCATAGAGTTCACCCATTTAAAGTATAGTTCAGTGGTGGTTAAGGTATTCACAGAGTTGTACAATCATCACCACAGCTTTTAGAACATTTTCATCACCCCCAAAAGGAACCCTGTACCTGTTAGCAGTCACTTGTCACCTTCCCAACCTTCCTGTCCTTTGGGAACCACTAGTCCCCTCTCTGTGGATTTGCCTATTCTGTAAATTTCATGTAAATAAAATTATGCAGTACATGGCCTTTTGTGGTGGCTGGCCTCTTACTTGGCCTGGTGTTTTCAAGGTTCACCTGTGTCGTAGAATGTATCAGTGCTTTATTTCTTTACATTGCTGACTGGTATTCCACTGTGTAGGTAGATCACATTTTGTTTATTCATTCATCAGCTGATGAACCTTTGGATGATTTCCATTCAGTCCTTCGCTTTCTGAAGCAGTCATGTTGGCCTTTCATGTTTACTCAGATACATCATGTTCATCCTTAAGTCTGTCTTTTCCTATTCTGGAATACCTTTCATTATACCTACCCAACATTTTCCTTCCCCAGGATCCAGCTGTAATGGTGCTTTCTAATCTTTCATAAGGCCTTTCCTAACTGGGGAAACCACATGGATCCCAGGCTTCTCTGAGATCATGCAGCGGCTGCATCCTTCAATTAATCACCACTTTGTATTCCTTAATGTGTGTGTATGTATACATTTTCTTTAATAGACTATAAGCTCATGGAGGGCAAACCATAATTTATGTTTTTGCTGGTTTGGTTCTTTATTGTTCTGTGCTGTGATACAAATATATACCCCTTAATGGAATAAAGTCTATTTATTTATTTTAAGATGACCCAAATGCCAGATGAATTAAACAACCTCTGATTTTTTTGTATCATAGTGTCAGACGTATTTACATTACAGCCTGTTTTACCATTTATTATTTGTGTGACCAAAGGCAAGTTATTTATGGTTGTTAAGCCCTGGTTTTCTCACCTTTAAAGTGGAAATAATAATTTCTGTTTCCCAAGGTTGCTGACACAGAATAGGTATCTGATTAATATTAATTCCCTTCTATCTCCTTTACTTGTCCCTGCTTCCTTGCTTATTAAGTGCTCAAGGTGCATTTAAAACTTTTAAAAGAAGATAACATTTTGCCTTCCAATAATTTATTAAAGTTATTAAAGTTTAGTTTAACTGAAATTTGTGATAGACATCTACTAATTTCTTTGGCTGACAGTATTGGTCAGAAACCAGAATCTTGACAAATTACAGTTAAACATTTTAAACTGATAGTAAGGTTAGCCTGTTTTACAGGTTTATATTTTCTAATCAAATGTATTTATCTTAAGAAATATTTGTTGTTTATGTTATTCGTTAAAATGAGTTGATTGGATAATGTACCTAACCTAACTTTTATGTTGCTTACTTTTAGGGTCACTTTTAAACTAGTTGTCACTTTGCACTGTGAGTTTTAAAACATTTTGCCTTCTAGAGAAAGTCTAAAGAACATTTTTAATTAGGAACATTTTCCCTTTTCTCTGTCCATTTTTTTTAAAGGAGTAAGTGTGCCCCCTAGTGATAGCACAGAGTAAGATTTCTGCAGCTAAATCTGGGGAAAACAGAAGTGCAGTAAACTGGCTATTGCTAATCACATGTGGCAACTATTGAATTCCAGACTAGAACATAGGAGTGGTAGGTAGTGGGGAAGAACCCCAGTGATTAGGTTTGCTAGCTTTTGATTGTTTTATCTTTAAAAATACCTGTCCTACTTGCTATGCAAATGTGAAAAGTTATATGAAAAACTTAATTCGTATGTCCTTATATCTAAGATCTGTATTCCCATACTTGTACTTTCACTGTTGTCTTGACTTCTTTTTTTGATGCCTTCTGCCTCTTAGTACTCTTTCAGGGAGGTGAGTGCATAGGGTGTGTGAAAGTGGAGTGAGAATTTGCAGATGCTTATGAAGCAGTCTGAAAGCATGGTCTGCATTTTTGCGATTTTCTAATTTTTGCAAGTTGTCTTGTTCTTCCTAGTTAAATAGCAATTTTCTTTGGTAATTTTTTTTATCTCTACTGAGTTTTGTTTTTAAACTTTCTATTCAGTTTCATAGGAATGACTATCCTT